ATAGGATAGGATAGGATAGGATAGGATAGGATAGGATAGGATAGGATAGGATAGGATAGGATAGGATAGATTTATTGGCCAAGTGTGATTGGGCACACAAGGAATTGTCTCTGATACATAAGCTCTCAGTGTACATACAATGATTGTGTAAAGATTTAGAAATTAGAATGTGTAGATATTTTCTAGCTCTTGGTTTTTCAGTCTTTTGGCCCTCCTTCCTGTTAAAGTATATGCAGAAACTAATAAAAGTAGAATGAAAAGTTGATCCTTCGTTAAAAATTACTTGGCTAAACTGACATTCATAGGGTGGGGAGGGCAGGAACCATATAAAGCTTTCTTGAAAATGAACCATTTTGAACCATCATGCTTTCAGGTTTAGCTGCTGCTTATTTATTTTTAAAAATAATATCTATACTGTAACTCATACCCTTCTCAACACTAGTTCATATTGTTGACTCTCCTGAGTAACATTTTTCAGTATATTTATAACTTAGATTTTTCTTTAGGGGAGCACAGAGTGGTTTTTGCTGGGTTTTTAGGTAATCTTACATAAGGCCTATGCAGAAACACTGTATAGCTCTAGGCCAAGGTTTGCTGGTTGCATAATTAATATAATCTGAATAGCTTACTTAGAGACATCTCCATTACCGCTCTATTGTGATACAAGTTCCACCCCTTTGGGAAGTGCGTGTAATACGGTTTTCTTCATTGGCCCCCTCCCTACCCCCACCTATTGGACATCTCTAAAGTGACCAATGAACTTATTGGCTTTTTTAAAAAAAAGTCTGTAGTTTTCAGACACCATTTGGTTGTCTTCTTTCATCCAATAATGTTGAATTTAGTTCAAATAATTCTAATTAATAATAATAATAATAAGAAGAAAAAGCAGTGATTTCCAAGAAGAATCCCTGGTCTAAAGTTGGATTCTCCAACATTTTGGAGCACTGAATTAAAGGAGATACTAAACACTTAAATAAAAACTTTCACGGTGTTTGTTTCCAGAGTGTCTGGATCTTGAAATAAACAAGATGCATTTGGGATACTATGATTAGATTATTATAGGATCTGGTTGTAAAAGTTTTAAGTGAAGTTGCCTTCTAATTAGTAGAGACTACTGTAGTTTTTGGGGAATTGTTTGTTTTCAGAATGCCTCCAAATATGCATTTGCTCAAGACACACAACCAAAGGAAAGAAAATGCTTTGATTTCTTAATCTCAGCTGCTTTTTTTTTAAGAACATCAATATTGACCACTGCTAGGAAATAGTATCCTCAGCTAAAATAAATGTCTGCTCCACAAGACAGTAGGATCCTGTGTGCTTGACAGAAACTTTGGTTCAGCATCCTACATTCCTTTGCTACAGGCAAAATAAGAAATATCTGCTTTCAAATCAGACTTAAATCACATATGTATTAATATAAAATTTATTATAATCTACAATGTAATATAAATTTCTGGCCAAGCAGAAATTCTAAATTATTATAAACAATATATTAAAATATATTAATAATAAAGGTAAAGGTTTTCCCTATCCAGTTGTATCTGACTTTAGTGGCCAGTGCTCATCTCTGTTTCTTAGCCAAGAGAGCCAGCATTGTCGAAGACACTTCTGTGTCATGTGGCCAGCATGGCTATACGCCAAAGGCACACAGAATACTGTTATTTTCCCACCGAAGTGTTACCTATTTATCTACTCACATTTGCATGCTTTCGGACTGCTAGGTGGACAGGAGCTGGGGCAAGTAGCGGAACTCATTCTGTTGTGCAGCACTTGCATCTCAAATCCGGGCTGTTAGCTTTCCAGCTGACAAGCTCAGAGTCTTTAACTGCTGGGCCATCACTCCCCCTTATATTAATAATATTAATGACAAACTCATCATCAATCAGTTGCAAAAGGCAGCTTTATTTGGAACAGCTTACATCCTGCGACAATATCATAACATCATCAAACATTCACATCCGCCTATCCCAGGTCCTTGGGAAGGATTCGATAGGTGAACAAAAATGCCAAATCCTGCCTGAACATCTTGCTGACTATGTGATAAACCATAATAATCAATTAAATATATAAGGGTGGTGGTGGTTGTAAATTATGGTCTTGGAGAAGGTTTGACATTTCTTGGGGAGGAGTTGATTTTATTTCTCAAAAAGCATTATTAATAATATTAGATCAAACACTGAAGCTTTTCTTTTTAGATTTATTCATGCACACAAAATAGTATTGTGTTTATGAGTTCAGCATTTTGCCTACAGTTGTGCTTTTAGGTATAAGACATTATTATTTTATTCTCACCATGTCCCCAGCAATAATCACTAGCTCCAAAGTGTGATGGGATGTTTAACTTCTACCATCTTTTTTATGTGCAGGTAACGAATGCATTACATGTTTAAAAGGAGTGGGGTCTTGTTCACCTGGTCATGTTCCCTTATTTGAAGCCAGCAACTATTTCTGCAAGTGCCCTGATTATTTGGTCAGCATACACAAGAAATTCATATATATCTAAATTATTTTTTTTCCATCACACTGAATTAGAACTGGTAGGAAAATAGGCTGGACATTAGTCACAGGCCAGCATTAGTCACAGCCACGACTGATGATGCCTCCCTGGGTTTTTCAGAATTCCCAGCCAGCATGCCAATCAGGAATTTTGGAGATAAGGTACCAGGCTGGGAAAGGATGGATTAGAAAGTCTCTGTTGATATTTCTGTGTTCAGTAATATCTACAGTTTTGTCATCTGTTGCAGCTGGATATAGAATCAATCAACAAAAAGTAGAGTTGCTGATCTGCTGAAATTAAACCAATTGTTCTCTGTTTCTGTCTCCTTTATATTTTTAGCTTGTCCCAGAGGCACCTTCAAAGCATCGGCGGGAGATGCCCCTTGCAGTCCTTGCCCTATCCACAGTTATGCTTCCATCCCAGGTTCCCGGGAATGTGGCTGCCAGGCTCACTATTACCGTGCTTCTTCAGATGTCTCAGATGCCCCCTGTACCAGTAAGTATCTGAGAATGAGGAGGATTGGCTTAGTATGGTCCCTGTTTCCTTTTATATCTTGGATTCTTCTTCTGACCTGGTCTGTGTTTGCTCTTTTTCCTTCAGCTTCTTCCATGATTCCTTCCCTGTGCTTTCATTTCTTCCTCAAGCCCCTTATCTCTCCATTTCTGAGGTCCAGTTTTGTTACATTTCATGCATTAGAGAAGTATGTTCCGAAAACTGTTCTTTTGGAACTTCCTCTTGTACAAAACCATGGAAAGAACAAGGGTCTCCAGTCTTTCTAGGCTAGCTGCCTATTTAAAGTTATGAGGAATAAGTGATTGCTGGGTGGGGTGGAAGAGAAGTTACTCATTCACAAAGTGGCTGTTCAGATATGACCTCAAGACCTTTGTAAAAATGAAGAAAGTGGTGGAAAGTGGTTTATAGTATTGCAGATTCCATTGGTGTAGCCACATCAGTCTGTGACTTGAAAAACAGCGAAGTATCTTGTGGCTTCTTAAAATACTAATGTACCATATCTTTTTTTTAAATTTGACCTACTATTGGTAACATTCACAGGGATCGATGTAGCCACAATCTTGATTCTTCTCTTCTGGGAATTTTGATCACATCTGCTTCCTCCTTTGTTACCTACCAAGCCATTTTGTGTTCACCATCAATGCTTTTTGATTTCTGGATATAATTGTTAAAGTTAATTAGAATGTCTCATCAATCAGAGAATAGTCTGTATTTTTAGGAGAAATAGGTTGGAAATCAATTAATTTGAAGGTGTATCCCAATGGCAAGCATTTTGCGAATAGCCATGATTCACTGACATTTGTTGTTTTGGGTTTAATGTTTACATTAAATTTGTTTGTGTTTAAGGTGCATCAAGATTCTTTGTTGAAACTCAAGATGTACTTTAAAAAAATCTTGAAAAGCACAGTGAAGCAGAAACATAGTTAAGGTTGCAATTAGGTTCATGTTCATGAATAATAATTGTCTGGCTAAGTTAGGCAATGACAGCTGGTCTAAACTGAAATCTTCCTCATTTTTATTACCCCATTAACAAAATGTGGGGATTTTAAAAGGTGGGGAGGGAAATGAAAGTGGGGTTCCCTATTGGTGGTAGCAGCATCAATTGTTGAAATCTGGAAATAATCTGTCATGGCTGTAGGCTGCTTTGGGGTACCAAACTGTGTAGCTTTCATCCTTGACATTTGGATTAAAATTGTTTCTTGGGAAAGATTTCTTTCTAGTTAAGTTTTACTTAGTTTGCTTCAGAGATAATGAAATAATGTCACTGCCTACCTTTGCACTTATGTATTTGACTTTTTTCTATTTCAGTTTTTTAGGATTTAATTTTCCACTGTTTTGTAGGCATCCCATCAGCCCCTCGGGATCTCAGCTATGAAATTATTGGATCCAATGTCCTTCTGACCTGGCGTCTCCCAAAGGATCTGGGTGGTCGAAAGGATGTTTTCTTCAATGTCATCTGTAAAGTGTGTCCGACTGGCTCTCCAGGGCCTTGTGTCCGTTGTGGGGACAGTGTTCAGTTTGAACCCCGGCAGGTGGGACTGACCGAAAGCCGGGTGCAAGTGTCCAACCTCCTGGCTCGTGTTCAGTATACCTTTGAGATTCAAGCAGTCAACCTTGTGACTGAACTGAGTCCAGATTCTCCACATTATGCTGCCATCAATGTCAGCACCAGCCAGTCAGGTGAGGCACATTTTTTGTTGACTATCATTGCTTATTTTAACCCCTCTTGTTCCGCTATTTTCCTTTGTCAGTCTTTGTCTCTCTTTTTTGCTGTCATACAGACATGGATGCTGATGAGATGAAAGCAAGGAGAACAATGGCTTTCCACTAATAGTGCAGGAGGCAAACTTTAGGTAGAACCTCGGTCTCATACCATTTACGACCAAATATCATAAGACTTAGATAAGACTGTGAAGGCAATTTATGTGAAACAGGGATGGGTGAAATTGGTCAGAGGATAGAAAATGCTCATGTTTCTTTCCCCCTAAAAAATGTTGTGAAAGATGTATTTCAGGGTGTATTTTTGAGATGTTGAGCCTAATGCTGGGACACTCTTGTCATCCGACAGTGGAGGAAAAGGAGCATTGTACCTTCAAATACTTTTTTAACTGGTCCAGCAAGAGCTCCAGATATTTATTACTTTGCAAGATTTTGTAAGGATATGAAAAATAAATCTTGCAAAGTTTTGAAATCCTATAAGATTTCAGCCTACATTTTAGGTTTCATCGGGCCATCTAGAACTGTCAGGGATGTCTACAAGCCCCTGTTGCTAGTACATTTGAGCACCTTTTATAGTTTGCAACATGCTCAGGTTGTAATACGATGCACAGGTTGTAATACTTCACAGAACAGGTAAGTCTTGTTATCAAATTATTTAATGCAATTCATCAATATATTTTATTAACCATCTTTTAATGGGACTTGTTGCAACATTGCAAAATAAAGGTATCCTGTGTTGGCACATAATAATAATAATAATAATAATAATAATTATTATTATTATTATTATTATTATTATTATTATTATTATTATTAATAGTAGTAGTAGTAGTAGTGGTGGTAGTAGTAGTAGTAGTAGTAGTAGTAGTAGTAGTAGTAATAAAGTTGGAAGGGACCTTGGAGGTCATCTAGTCCAACCCCCTGCTCAGGCAGGAAACCCTATACCATTTCGGACAAATGGCTGTCCAGTCTCTTCTTAAAAACTTCCAGTGTTGGAGCATTCACCACTTCTGGAGGCAGGTTATTCCACTGGTTAATTGTTCTCACTGTCAGGAAGTTTCTCCTTAATTCTAGGTCCCATGGCCTTTGATAAAACTTTTTATTTTGCTTGAATCCACTCCCCCAAAACCTAGCAAAAGGGAAAGAGCTTGCCTTAGCAATTCAGAAAAAGATCTTTGCAGTGAAATTTTTGGCTCAGTATAATACTTTGAACATTTTAAAATCTATATAAATACTGGATATTATTAAAGTCATGCCCTTTGGATTTACTGACTCAGGCATTAGTCCCTTGGGACAGCCAATCCCTTTAGATTCTCAGCCTAACATCCCTTCTCTTATTATTACTAAAGGTCCTAAGATGATAACTGCTGTTCCTACTTGGAAATTGAACAGCATTTTCACACGCTCAATATGCTTTATATAATTGTTCAATGATCCATATTATAGATGGGAAGATTGAGTTTGGGACATTAGATTGCCTAAGGCCACTTACTGAATTTATAGCTAAGGTGAGATCGGAACCACTGGATTTGGTTTCATAGCTTAATCTGTTGAAAATTTGAGTCACTGCTCTCTTTTCCCCTTTCCTCCCACTCTAGCACAGTCTGTTTGTTTCCTTACTTGCTTGACAGAGGAGCCAACTATATCAGTTAGGAGATCAGTTGCTATGAGAAATGGAACCTTTTATCAGATTTTGGCAGGGAGTTAGAGTGTCTGATGTAAGAATAAATAGCAATTTTGCTCTCTGGCTTTATCTAGCCAGTAGGTTTCTCCCAACTCGTGTAATGGGGTAGTAGAATTAATTGGGAGGTTGGGGACTCATGATTACGATTGCCATAAATATCTGAGAGCCTTCTTGTCTGCGTCTTTATTTCATGGATAAATGACACAAACAGCATGTGAAATTTAGAATCATCGGTATTTGTTTGTTTATAACTTTATATTCCATTCTTCTAATAAGGACAAGTAACTCAGAGTAGGTAGCAATAATCAAAATCACCAAAGCAAAATTAAAATAGTGTGGTGTAGTGGTTAACATATGTTTAGTCCCAACTTAGGTATGAAATCCTGCTAGTTGACTTTGGGCCAGTCCCTCTCTCTCAACCCAACTCACCCCACAGGTGAGGTTCTTGTGGAGAAATTAGGAGGAGGAAGGAGTATTAGGTATGTTTTCCACCTTAAGTTATTTATGAAAATAATAAAAGCAGAATAACAAATAATAAAATAATAAGCAAGTTTGAGAAAAAGAAAACTCAAGTAAAATATACATTGTGAGAAGTTTCACTGCCTTCCTAAAAAGAAAGTTATCTTCTTCCCATTAATCAGAAATTATTCTAGTCCACCTTTTACTGTTTTCTGTTTTGAAGAAGGAAGAAGATGCACAATTATACTTTGAACTGCTGGTCATTTACAGCTTTAACCCATGAACCACATGATATCCATGAAGATGAATAGAAGTTTAGGGCAGTGGTGGCGAACCTATGGCACGCGTGCCAGAGGCAGCACTCAGAGCCCTCTCTGTGGGCACGCGCACCATGCCCCGGAGATGGCAACCGTCCCTCTTCAACTAGCCGCCCACTAACTCGCCGAGGTCCCACGTGGCCGGATGCATCCCAGCACGGGTGGTTTCCCTCCCCTCCATCACATCCCTCCTGGCCTCGCATGCTCTCCTTTTCCTGGGCACGACCCACTGCATTGCCTCCTCAGCTGTCGGCTATCCATCCAGCTCAGAGACGGCTTCTCAGAACTGCTGGCAGTAGGCTGTGGAGCCCCAGAGTGCACCGGTCGAGGGGCCGGCAGCTGTGGCTGCTGATGGACACTGTCGGCCCCCATGCGCTCGCTGGCCTCTGTGTGCGGGGGCCGATGGTATCGAGCAGCAGCTGCCCCGGCCCCTGCCTCGCCTTGCCCTGCGACAATGGCACCCCCGCCCTGCCTTGCCTTGCCTTGCCTCGCCTCACTCCACAGGATGAGCGTCCTGCCCACCGTCCCACCTGCCAGAGACCCCCTGGATTTGCCCCAACCCTGTCCGGCCCCCACAGGTGTCCCTCCCCACAAGCAACATTGAGGTGACCATGCCCACCTTGGCCACACCCATCCAGTATGCCATGACCACCACAGCCACGCCCACCCAGTGGGCCACACCCACCTGGCACTTGGCGATAAATAAGTGGGTTTTGGGTTGCAGTTTGGGCACTCGGTCTCTAAAAGGTTCGCCATCACTGGTTTAGGGAATAATAGCAATTTTTTTTTAATTTTATTTATTTATTATTTTTTTATTTTCCCTTATCTCTCCTACAAGGTGACTCTGGATGGCTTATAGGTTATAAAACAAATAAAAAATAGAAGATTAAAAAATCGAAACAACACAAAGTTAAAGTATTATTAAAAACTATATTAAAATCGAACTAAGAAAGCTAAGAACCTGATAGGACAAGGATGAGGTCTTCTTACCCTGTCAGCTGCCTCCATGGTGAGTGCCCCCCCTTGGAGCCTCAGGCCAGCCAGCAAAGCCAGGTTTTAATACCCTTCCAGAAGGCCAAAAGGGAAGGGGCAGTTCTCACCATCAGTGGTAGAATATTCCACAGGGATGGGGGCCACAAGAGAAAAGGCTCTTCTCTTTGATCATGCCTGCTCCAGTTCCTTAGCAGACAGGATCTGTAGCAGGTCTCTTCCACTGGCGTGAGTGGCGCAACCTTGTCCCATCAGAGAGAGACAGCTCCTCAGACAACCTGGACCTATGCAATGAAGGGCTTTAAAGGTAACAACCAACACCTTGAATTGGATCTGGAGGCAAACCGGTAACCAATGTAGCTTGCGCAGTAAGGGGGTTACATGTGCAGCCTTAGGAGCTCTCAAGACTGGGCAGAATTGGCAGAAAAGGGGAATATAAGCAATACGAACAATCAAATAAGCACCTACAGTATATCTCCAACAGATTTCCAGGCTGAAGATTGCTGTAAATTACTCCCAGCTTCCAGTTCTATATATCAAAAGCACAAATCCCTTCCACATCTTTTCCTTCAATTCAGGAGAGAAAGGCAAGGTCAAAATGTGTGCTGCCACATCTGTTGGATGAAGTGATATCTGAGGCCAGAAGATATGGCCACCTTGACACTGAGCTGCTTTGGTCAAAGTAGCCCCAGCAATTCCTGAAACATCTGTCTTAGGATCCCGTACATTTACTCAAAGTCATCTATATCACTTCCTCACTGTTACTAGTGGGATGGAAAGTAAGAGAATCTCAATCTGTTCTGGAGTCCCCGTCCCCAGTTGACGACTTGGAAATCTAGTTGAAAGTTGAGCCAAGAGATTGACGAAGACTCAATTTATTTCCTAATTTATTTCCTATTAGTTGAGCTGGCATTGATCAACAACACTTATAGGCCAGCTGCTCATTTTACTGAGGCTATAAAGTGACCTGGAATGGAGATAAAACTCTCACTACAATAGTTCAGTGTTTGTTCTTATTGCCCCCAAAGACAGGGCACAAAATAGAAATCTCCTGGTTTGCTTCCCCAGTAATGGTCAAACACCAGTGACAACTTTTGTGGTAAGTTCCACCTCCCAGGAAGAACCTATTCCTCAGTGATTAGATTCTTTTTGTGTTGGATGTATCTTCAAAATACATGTATATTTGTATACATGCATATATATATCAGTCTTTTACTGACTGCTGAAATCTGTATGAACTTACAACAATAAAACAATGCTAAAGCCGAGACCACAATACAATAATAATACATTATAATCAGACAGTGGCTCCCAACTCATCATGGCCCAAATGCTCTCTGGAAAAGCTCCATGCATGTGCTAACTTTGCCTCAAGATGGAGCTTATTTTGCCACAGTGCCTGCAAATCCCTGCCCCCTTAAGCTCCCAATAATGTTAATGGGTTTTGTTGGGGTGCACGCAAGCAAATTCTATGATTCTTAAAGGAAACAATGCTGAAGAAGTCTAGGAGA